TCACTTAAATGATTTTGAAACCAAACTTACACTAGTTGAACACAAATAAGCAGGAAATTGACTAAGTTATCAAAATAAACCTAATTAAATTAACTAAGCAAGAGATGAAATCAGAACTTCAGTCATGCTGTTACCAAGAAAAACTAAACCTACCAAGAAAATCAGGGGACAAAATTTTGAAAAAATAAAATAAAAGGGAATAAAAGAACACTATATATTCTCGCCCAGAAAGTTTTGGTCAAGTTTCGATTGAATTGACTAAAGAAGAAGAAAGAGAGATGAAGAGGAACGAAACTGAAATAATGCTAGAAATGAATAAGGAAGGAAAACTCACCGACCAAAACTTGAACTCGTGATCGATATTTTGACTTAAACCCCCGATGAACGTCAACTGCTCGTTCTTTGTCGACTAACGTTATTTTATGGTAAAACCGGCCCTGAACACTTGTGAAGACTGGAGAAACACCTTTGCATGAACGACCTCGGCCATGACTTCTAGGGCTTGAACCCTAGATTTGAAATTCGAGAAGCACCGGACAGATTCGAGGGAAACCAACNGGGGGGGGGGGGGGCTGTTAGTACATATATATATGTCGGGTGTCCCTCACTTCTGAGCCGTTAGATCAGGCAAACCTCGATGGCTCAGATCTATTTTGCACTAAACGGCGTCGTTTTATTTAGTGGGGGGAAACTTGATAGGGACGGGTTTGGGCCAGGTTTTGACTGGGTTTCAGAGGGAATGTTTGGGCTTGGGGTTTGGAAATCAAATGCAGCCCAATTCAGCCCCTATTTCCTTTTATTTGTTTTCCTTTCTTTTTTTCCTTTTTTCGAATTAAAATAAACCTAAATTAATCACTAATCAAATTATCCTATTACGTTAATTAACTCTAAATAACATTTACCACAAGTAATTAAAAATCAAATTCAAGGAAAAACTACCAAAATTCGAAATTAAAATTAAAAGTGCAAAATAAACTATTTTTTGTGATTTTTCCATTTTTATGAAACAACTAATTTGTCAATTAATCCTAAAATGCAAAATTAAATCCTAAATGCAAATTCAACATATTTTTGTATTTTTATTAATTGAATAAAATAAATATACACAGACAAATGCAAACATTTAACATAAAATGCCACGAAAATCCACAAAATTGCAAACACTGAAAGAAATTATTTTGTGTTGAATTTATGGGAGTAATTCATACATGGCAAAAATCACATGCTCACAACTACGATACATAACATTAGGTGGGTAAAATATACATATTTAGCTCAACAAAGAAATGTCTATATCACTTCTAAGACTGAACAAAATTACTATTTCGCTTTACAAACACACGGGGCAAGTTCTAGACATCAAGTGCAATGCACAGAATAACACCCAAACCTCACACACATATGGCACATAACTCACTCAGGATTGGATTCATCAAGACACTCTAGTCAAAGCAGTTAAGCAAAGTTAAAATCATACAATTTAAGGTACTTTTACAAAAGTCAAAAACTAAGGCTAAACGTCACCGCCAAAGTACTCACTATTCTCAAGGCATAACAAAGTCAAGAGATATTGCTTCAATTCAAAACACAACACAATGGCTCCTATTCCTAAAACAACTCACTACACCCGGTTCAAACAAAACCCTTGGAAAAGAACCGTAGTTTAAACAAAAACCAAGGGGTAATTGCTACACTACCTAACAAAAGAAAATCATTTTATTTTTTTAGACTTAAATCCCTCAATAAAATTGTCTAGTATATCCATCGTCGGGAAAAGTCCAATCTTTACTATGTAAAAAAATATTCAATTAAACTAACATAACTAAAATAGCATAGAAAGTCACCCAGACAATATCATCACCCCACACTTAAAATTGTGCATTGTCCCCAATGCACACCATACTAATAAGAGGGTAAAAGAAACTCCCTGGTAGGCCAAAGACCGAAGCACTAGCAGCTCATGAAATACTCAGACTTCTCCCGGGCTTGGTCCTTCGTGTGGGTACCTCACACTTAGTTCCAACCATCTGGTTTGCTATTGTATCCTTTCAATAACTTTGCTTTTCATGTGCCTAGAAAATAAAAAAATTGACACTACAAAAATAATACAATTAAAAAATTAATAAAAAAATAATAAAAGAAAGCAGTAAAGCTGGGTTGCCTCCCAACAAGCGCTTAATTTAACATCGCGGCATGACGCAAATCGCTTTTTGCTTCCACTTTGAACTTATGAATTGGACCCCAAGTTTTGATCCTGCTCTATGATCATGCTCCTGGGTGGTGGAACGAATCTGACTGGCCCAATAAAATAATGTAGTACTCTACACTTCTTGGCATTTAGATGAGGTGTGTAATCCCGACTTTCTGGCAAGAAGAATTTCAGAATGTAGGCATCTTGTTCCTTACTCCTTGACTACTCAAGTGGCTCGGACGACTCTATTATCATCATCCAAACATAATGTGGAAAAATGCTTGGAGTGTGGACCAATGCGCTCAACTACAAGAACATTGGGACTGTCTACATTCTCAATACTGATGACAATAGAGTCAACTAAATATGTATCCTCAATATCCTTGGTTGACTCTGCTATCTCTTCTACGACATCGGCATCCTCAAAATCTATTTCGATTGATTGTTGGTGTTTTACTCTGGCCTTTTCCTCTAGCTCCTCAATTCTTGTATCTAATTCACCCTCTTCTTGGATACTATTCACAATATTGGCTTGTTGAGCATTAAAATCTTCAACCAGTTGACTCATGCGAATGTTCAAGTTGTGAATAGTTTCCTCCTGCCTTTCTATCTGTAGTTGTAATTTACTATGTTGTTCCAAAATGCACTTTAACATATCTTCGATCTTCTTTAGGTCAGCTTCCCTAGGTTCTTTGTTCCTATTAACTTCATCAGAAAAAGAAGAACCATTAAAGTAAGGGGTTGGGGGAAAGTAAGAAATATAAGCACAACCGTAAAAGTGACCATCTTGACCACCACACATATCACACACATTCCACACATAAGATTGAGTTGGTGCACAGAACTCGTTCTCGGGAATATTTTGATAATTTTGCCCTGGGTGGTTTCCTTCACAATATGCATAAGGAGGATTAAAAGTAGAATTACCAACATCAAAATTCCTATAATTCCATGATGCCACGTGTTCTCAAATAAAGATAAAATAAGAAAATTAAAAAAAAATCAAATACTAAAAAGTAAAATAAAAGTTCAAACTTGAAACCTAGCAATATGTACACCTGCAACTACACCGTTAGTTCTCCGGCAACGGCGCCAAAATTTGATCACGCCCAACTATGCCTTATAAAAAGGACTAAGCGGTCATTGTAAATATAACCCGGTTTACAAGTCCGAAGTCGAATTCACAGTGAACTAAGGCTTAGCTACAACTATTCAATATTGCTAAGAAGACAAGCTCGAACAATTCCTAAATTATAAATATTAAGGTTCTTATATCTAATTAAATAAATAATTAAATTAGTAGATTAACAACTAAAGATATTACGGGTTGGAGAAAAGATTAAGGAGGTCTAGAATTATGATTTCCCCAATTGTCGGAATCCTTCCCGCTATGTCTTCTGTAATTTCGCCTAAGTATTCTCTACCGATCATGAGCGCTCTGCGTGTTGTAATTCTCTCCCGAGTAATTACGACAATTTACTAGACATAGTCTCCAAAGTTACTCTAGCTGGATTTAATTACAGCTCACATAGATCGGACCCAAGGTTTCGTTATCCCTAATCCCACCTTTAAACCTTTGGTTATTGATTCCTCACATACGTCGGGAGTGATGTTGTTCAACAACTACCTGAATATGCACTCTCTACCGAGTAATACATACTAAATAGGCACAGCTAATTGAGGATCCTATCAATTAACTACAACAAGAACGTAGTTGAACAAATAGAGATTATACTACAGCTCAATTATATAAAAATATAACAAGAATTTATCTTACAAAAGGTTCCATCAAAACCCTAGATAACAAATTAGCTATTCGTAATAGTATGTAAAACTACAATACTAAAAATCATAACCAACAATGAAAAATAGGAAAAGGAAGGAAAAACTCGTAGAAGAATTCCCCGCCTTGCTCCTATTGTGTCTCCGCCTCCTTAGGTCTAAAATATGTCAAAAGTATGTCCAACTTCCTTAAAATAGCATTTTTACATGTATTTATACCAAGTAGGGTCGGTCCCAAACGAAAATACCTTCTCCCGCATGAAATAGGACACTCACTTTATAAAAGTTGCATTACCGCGCCGCATGGGGCGGCAGTGGGAAAGTTCAGATTGCTGATTCTGACATGCTACAAGAAATATTCATAGGCGCGGCGCACTGCGCGGCGCACCATGCCCCGCGGTAGTGGGAATTCACGAAAATACAAAGCGTAAAAGTTGTAGCCCTTTCAAATATCTTTCCAACGATATATTGTGGAGCCCAAACGGAGTTCTGAGTGAAAAGTTATATGTATTTTTCTAGACAATACACCGTATGCTCGCTCTATTCTTCGTTCGTTCTAACTATCATCCATTGATCCCCAAACACGATCCCGGCTTTATTCCTTGGGTTTTTACTCAGACTTCAAAGCTCCAAATCACTTGAATTCATTCCATAATGTCTACATAGCTCGGAATCACTCCTTTAAGGCATAAAATACATAATTAGTGCAAAACACTGGCGATTAAAGCTCAAACTCAATTAAAGTACAATAAATTAGAGTGTAATAAGCGACTAAAATACGTAATTATAGCCTATCATCAATGGGTTGAAACAAGCTCCACGTGCCTTGTATGATAGGCTAAGTATCTTTCTTGTTGATCATGGCTTTACAAGAGGTAAAATTGATACTATCATGTTTATTAAACGATCATCAGAAGGTAACCTCATTATTCAAATTTATGTTGATGACATTATATTTGGTAGTGCTAACCCTCTTATGTGCAAGGAATTTTCAAATCTTATGCAAAATGATTTTGAAATGAGTATGATGGGTGAGCTCACATTCTTCCTTGGGCTACAAATTCAACAATCTGAAGAAGGAACCTTCATATGTCAGACCAAATACACAAAAGAGCTGATTCAAAAATTTGGTATGAGCAATGCAAAATCAATTGGCATTCCAATTAGCCCCTCTACGAATCTAGACAAAGATGAACAGGGCACTCCTGTTGATGAAACCAAATATCGTGGAATGATTGGATCATTACTGTATCTGACAGCAAGTCGACCAGACATCATGTTCAATGTATATAAATGTGCCAGGTTTCAGTCAGCTCCCAAGGAGTCACATTTGACTGCTGTAAAGAGAATCATTCAATATCTCATTGGAACTGTATCTCATGGATTATGGTATCCTCGCTCTAACTCTTTTAAATTAGAAAGTTTTTCAGATGTTGACCTTGCAGGTGATAAAGAGGATAGAAAAAGCACGAGCGGTACATGTCAATTACTAGGAAAGGCATTAATATCCTGGAATAGTAAAAAGCAAGCATCAGTCGCATTGTCCACTACGGAAGCAGAATACATTGCTATTGGACAATGTTGCGCACAATTAATATGGATGTCTCATCAATTGGGTAACTATGAACTTTTGTTTAAGCCTATACAAATTTTTTGTGACAATTCTAGTGCTATTTGTCTTTCAAAAAATCATGTGCATCATTCCAGAGCAAAGCATATAGATATTAAGAATCATTTCATTAGAGATCATGTTCTTAAGGGAGACATAGAAATATCTTTTGTTGGAACTTCTGCTCAACTAGCTGATATTTTTACTAAGCCTTTATTAGAAGAGAGATTTTGTACTTTAAGAAATTTACTTGGTATTATTTGCACTTCTAATAACTCTTAGGACCTATGTGCTCAGTTAATTATATTTGCTATAATTGTCCTTTTCCCATGCTTTAATTATGCCTCCATTTTTCCCTCTCTTTTCACTTCTTTCACATCAGTTCGCAGTTCGAAGATGGAAAGACAATCATCACGTCTTCTCAACTGAAAACTTTTCTTTTCCTGTACTCAACCGTCAAAACCCTCTTCTTAAGACAGAAAACCCCTTTCACTCTCATCTCCATCTCTTCTCCAAAAGTTTCAATCAAAGCTCATTCTCTACAATACTAAAACACTCCAAAAATCCCTTTGCTTCCACCAGAAAGAGCACCCGTTCCAAAGCAAAACCCCCTTCTGCGCCCCCTGAACAAGTAGACCTAGGGTCTGATCACTCTGAAGGCTTCGCCTCATCTCAGGGAGATTTTTCTGAACACTCACAACTTCTAGGAGAAAAGGCTTTAGGCAAGTGACCCATGGAAGAACCCCCTATTTCGTCCACTCCAAAGAAATCAAAGGTTGATTTCTCTGCCTCTCTTGAATCTGACCTAAATTTCTGGGATTCCCCAAATAGGGATCTTTTTATTGCTCTAAAAGACAAGCCCATTGCTCATGGAAGGGTTGTCGATCTTGATGACATGGAAGCCCTTAATTGTAAGGTCAAAGAACTTTTCGTTTATCAAGGGTGGACAAAGTTCTTCTTTATTCCTCCGCCTAAGGTATATGAACCCCTGGTCAAAATATTTTATGCAAATATTCATTCTAGTAAACCTGATAAGTTGGAATCTCAAGTGCTAGGTAAGCGCATTGTTCTTGATTGTGCCCTGTTTGACTCACTTTTTCAGTGTCGCTGTTCTAGTTTTCCTACTTTGTTTAAAAACATATGGCCTGATGACTTCGAAATTACTTTTGACCAAGCCAAACAGTGTATTGCTAGTGTCCTTCTAAATCCCGTCCAAACCAACTAGGTCCCAGTGATGTCAGTTTTGAAACTCGGGTTCTGGCCCACATTGTGGCAACCACTTTGCTTTCCCGTACTGGCTCCTTTTCAACCCTCTCTCAAAGAGACACATTCTGTGTCTATTGCCTTGTAACCAAACTCAAAATCAAGCTTTCCTCCTGGGTTATCAATTTCATGATCGAGAGTGCTGACGATCCCACTAGTCTACCCTATGGCATGGCAATCACTCATATTCTGGAAGCCCATCAAATTTCCCTATCCAACTATCCTTTCATCACTTTCTACAAGTCCTACAATTCTAGAGTCTTTGCTAGTATATGCTATGTGAATATCAAGGGCTCCTGGGTTAAGAAGAGCGAGAATGAAGCAAAGCAGGCCCCTGTAGAACCCAACTTTCACCCTCTGTTCCTCCACTTAATCTTGACAGTTCTAAGATTAGTGAAAAGCTTCGTGCTATTAACTCTCAACTCTCTGAAATCAAGAACCTTCTTACAGCTACTCAGTCTATTGTTGGTGACATTCATGCTATTTCCAAAGAAACAGGGTCTGACGTGTCCAAAATTAGAGTTCCTGTTCTCAGAGTGAGGGAGAATGCTGTCAAAGCTTTCAGGGAGATTCATGACAGTTTGGATGGTGTAAACGTCTCTGTGAATGCAAGCTTCGAACAGTTAAAGGAGGCCATCTGTAATACCCTTACCTATTTCCTGCGCCGCTTATGTGGTTGTTCTAAGACAATTTGTTTTCTGTTGGTTTTGGGTTGTGCTTTCAGCCTTTGGATGACTTTTATTTTTTTGTTGTGATGCTTTTGTGGGCTGTCTTCCCAGCCGTTGGATATTCACTTTACCTCCTTAGTTTTAATGTTATCTCTTTAGTTCTCGTCTTATTCCCTCTTTGCTGATGACAAAAAAGGGGGAAAATCTATATTGTCCAGGTAGCATATGTATTTTTATAGGTACAACGGAGAAGTCAACTTGGTCACAGTCTAGTTGACTGCATCCATTGAGGGGGAGTATCATGGACCATTCAAGTCAACTGCATACATTGAGGGGGAGTAAAAAATAGGGAAGTCGATTGGTGTTTACTTTTTTTTATTACTATATTATTTTGCCATCATCAAAAGGGGGAGATTGCTAGATCCAGTTTTAATGATGCAACTAATATACATGTATAGGAAATCAATTACAAAAAGTCAAGAAGATACCATAAGAATGCAAGAGTCAATCATGATGAATAAGGGAAGAAATCAATTAGCAAAGATTATTATACAATCAGCAAATCTGGACAACTAAGGAAAGGACTCACAAATCTGGACGGAATCCAATCAGCAAATCAATCAGCAAAGAGCAACGTTGGAGAGAATCAAGCAAGCCTTAAGTTAAGGCACAAATCAGGGGCAGCATCCAGAAAGATCGAAAGTTATGAGAAGATTGGTACGCGACTAAGTTTGGAAAGACAAACAATCAAGGAGAAAGTCTTCACCCATATCTCTGCTGAAGGAAGGAAATCAAAGAGAAGCAACGGCTTACTATCTTATTCTTAGAAAGAATCAATTTCTTTCCAAGGATCAAATCTCTTGGATTGTCAAGCCTCTACCATCCATCAAAGTATTTATATCCCGCCTTAAACCCTAGTCTGACATACTTTGATCGAACCAAAATCACTCTCTTTATTCTACTGCAAACAAACATTATAGTTCACTAAGATCTGCTGTGTAACAAGTCAGGGAAAGAAAGAGAGCATAACACTGGTGAGGCATTGTATCAAAAACGAGTGCTAGAGAAACTGTGTGCAAATTCACCACAACTGTAGTTGGAGAAGCACATTTACTAAAAGAGAACTCCCTTGCAACCCAAGGGGACTGGACTAGGATTCACATTGAATTCGAACCAGTATAAAATCCTGGTGTCTTTAATTCCTGCATTTACTTTCTGCAATTTACTTTCTTTTACTATATCTATTGAATTATCATATATAGTATACTACTCATTAAATTAGTCAACTAATAAGCGATTAAGTTTAAATATTTACAATTCACCCCCCTCTTGTACTTTCAAAATGTAGCTGGTGCATTACACAACCCAAAAGGCATCCTAGAGAAGGCAAAAGTGCCATCTGGACAAGTGAATATGGTCTTTTCCTGATATTCCGGAGCAATCAAGATTTGATTGTACCTAGAATACCTATCCAAGAAGCAATAGAAGGCACACCCAGCAAGTCGGTCCAACATCTGATCAAGGAAAGGCAAAGGAAAGTGATCCTTGCGGGTCACTATATTCAACTTGCGGTAATCCATGCTTACCCTCCAATCGGTGACGGTTCTTGTAGGAATTAACTCATTTTTGTAATTTGTAACCATGGTCATGCCATCCTTCTTTGGTACAAATTGCACCGGTGAAGACCAAGAGCTATCAGAGTTGGGGTACACAACCCCGACATCCAACCACTTGATCACCTCCTTTTTCACAACTTCCTGCATTGCCTCGTTCAACCTCCTTTGATGCTCCAAGGAGGGCTTTGCATCATCTTCCAGAATAATCTTGTGCATATAGAATGCGGGGCTTATTCCCTGAATATTAGCTAAAGTCCATCCAATTGCCTTTTTCTGCTTTTGAAGCACTGCCAATGTGGCATCAACCTGCATGTTAGTAAGGCAAAAAGAAAGAATAACTGGCAAAGTAGAATTTGAGCCTAAGAACCCATACCTGAGGTATGGAGGCAGTGGTTTCAACTCCAACACCGGAGGCTCCTCAATTGAAGGTTTAGTTGGTGGAGTCTTTCTATTCTCGAGATCCAGAGACAATTTCCTAGGCTCATAAGAATAAGAGCTCATTCCATGTAAAGCATTCACGCACTCCACTCCGCTTGCATCCTCATTGACATCAAGATTCAACAATACAGCCTCCAATGGGTCCTCCACATTGATCATTGCACTGGTGTCATCAATTATTACTACTGTGACGAGGTCAACAAAAGAGCACACCTTGGTACTGTTGGGCTGCTTCATAGATTTGCACACATGAAAGACCATCTTTTCATCACCCACCCGGAAGGTGAGTTCCCCTGCTTCCACATTCACCAATGTCTTCCCCGTAGCTAGGAATGGTCTGCCCAGTATGATAGAAACTTTGTAGTCCACCTTGCAGTCCAAGATCACAAAATTAGCTAGCAAGATAAATTTGTCCACCCGGACAAGCACATCATCAATAATACCCAAGGGTCTCTTCATCGATCTATCTGCCATTTGTAACCTCATATAAGTCGGCCTAGGTTGCCCAATACCCAAAGTTTTGAAAACTGAGTAGGGCATCAAATTGATACTAGCTCCCAAATCACATAGAGCCTTGGCAAAATCTGCACTCCCAATGGTGCAAGGAATGGTGAAGACATCGGGATCTTCAAGCTTCGGGGCTATTGAATGCACTATAACACTAACTTGGTGAGTCATCTTTATAGTTTCACAATCCATAGAATGCTTCTTTGTGACCAAGTCTTTCATGAATTTTTCATACCCCGTCATTTGTTCAAGAGCCTCCACCAGAGGGACATTAATGGACAAGCTCTTCATCATGTCAATGAACTTCTTAAACTGATTATCATTCTTTTGCTTCGCGAGCCTTTGAGGATAAGGTATAGGTGGCCTTGGAAAAGGTGCCTTGGCTTTAGGACAACCGGTTCTGGCATGTCTATTACGTGTTCCCTAGATGGGGTTCACGTCATTTTGAGTTTTCACCTCGACATCTTGAATATCAATATTCACTTCTTTGTTCACATTTTTAACAACCACATCTTCAACTACCAAAGGGATCTCATCTTCTTGCAACTCAACATCATCATCCAAGATTTGCTTTTGTTTGGAGGCATTCACATCACCGCCTCTCCCACTTCTTGTTGTAACCACCATAACATGATTGTTCCCACCCTTCGGGTTCACCACCGTATCACTTGGTAGAGCACCCTTAGGGCGAGTATTTAAAGACTGAGAGATTTGGCCTAATTGTACCTCCAGGTTTCTGATAGAGGTATTGTGGGAAGCCAATTGTGCATCAGAATCCGCATTCTTCTTC